AAAAAAAAACCTGCTAACCAACCAACCAACAGCCAACTGGTAGCGGCGCCAGCAGCAACCAACCAACTGACCACAACGTAGCATCCCTTTTGTGGGCCATCCGAGGGTAAAATTTAGAATAGGAAGAAGCCTATTGCAACGTGGCATGCCTTTGTGGGCCACAGATACAGTTTAGAGTAGGAAAAAGCCATTGCAACGTAGCATTCCTTTCGTGGGTAGAATTTAGAAAAGGAAGAAGCCATTGCAACGTAGCGTGCCTTTTGTGGGCCACCCGAGGGTAAAATTTAGAGCAGGAAGGAGCCTTACAACGAAGCATGTCTTTTTGTGAGCCACCCGATGGTAAATTTTAGAGTAGGAAGGAGCATTTACAACGTAGGATTCCTTTGATGGGCCATTCGAAAGTAAAATTTTGAAAAGGAAGAAGCCATTGCAACGTAGCATGCCTTTTGTGGGCCACCCGAGGGTAAAATTTACAGCCGGAAGGAGCCATTATATTACAACGTAGCATTCCTGTTGTGGGCCATTCGAGGGTTAAATTTAGAATAGGAAGGAGCCATTACAACGCAGCATTGGATCGAATTCGAATTCAAATCGACGAAAATGTTTACACCCCGGAGGGGGAACCAGTTCGAGTTCGAGATCGAATTTCGAATCGACGACAATTTTGACGCCCGGAGGGGGGGACCAGTTCGAGTTCGATTTCCAAATTTCGACGACAGCGATTTTGGAGTTCGACTCTTTCTATTCGTCCACTGGGTTGACTTCTAACAGTTCCAGTTCGAGTTCGAGATCGAGTTCGAGATCGAGTTCGAGATCGAGTTCGAGATCGAGATCGAGTTCGAGTTCGGTTCCTTCCATATATCCTTTCAAGGTTAAGTTCATCAATACTGTATATAACTGTTTCAGTTCGAGTTCGAGTTCGAGTTCGAGCGGGGCACACTATGTTTCCCAAAACAAATGCCGCCAACAACCTCAGTGACTGACGCTGTGTATGCCAATCTGGAAGCTTCCAATTTCAGCTTCAACCAACATACAGTAGCTGCCGATGAGACACCTTAAACATCACCGATGCCAAAACAAGCAAATGTCTTGCTTGTGACAAATCTGAATGTTAAATGTGACGTGGCAAAACAACAATTCAAGAAAACAACTCTATATGTGGGAGGCCAGGCTTTGAACACATTTTGAGGAGTGAACTTCTTTGTATATATAGACATGACATCTGCTATGATGACTGTTCATGATTCAGTCTGAGAGGATTGGAGCTTTTGTGTCTGATTAGCAATGTCTTCATACCCTCCACCAATACGCCAATGTTCCCTGAGTAAACAAAAAAGCACATGCCAATTGCAAAACAAAACGTGCCAAAGCCTGGTCTATCCTGGTCTCAAGGCGGCCTAACCATAATCCTTCCCGGTGCGCTCGAAGAAAAGAATGTCACCAAAACTATCCCCGCAACGCCTCACAGCTGAACTGACAGTGCAATCAATATGCTTTGTGACTTCAAAAGGCTGGTGAACCCTCGACCAGCTGTCCCGTAAGAGAGCCCCTGCAGCACTCTTGCCTTTGTCAAAGATCCTAAACCCTAAATACACGTTAGTTTAGGTTTTAGTAAGCTGTGTTTTTACTACCGACATCTACCGACTTTTTTCGTGTTTGATCCTCAGAACTCGTGGCAAGTTGACAAGTGTTTCTGAAACGAGTTCTGCCGTCATGCCGTCCTCGTAAACAAAAGTTGAGCAACCAAGAAGTTTGACAAACACCCAAATATAGGACGAGAAGCAAGAGATGGTTCAAGAAGAGACACTTTGCCAAAATAAGGCCTGACGTGCTCAAGTTTAATGACTCTCACTAAGTCACTTGCAACATGATGTGTTTGAGGTTTGCGATTCAAGGTTGAGACAGCACACACACACACACGACCTTGAATGATGTGGCCACAAATTGACAAGCAACTGTTGTAATGGTAACATTAAAGCCACACCTGACTATGCTCTTGAAGCCCTTTGTCAAAGAGAAAGTGAGTGATAAAACAAGAAAACATACGAATCCAATCAGAACCATCACAAGAAGGCAAGGAAAGAACTCAAGAATGAGGCAAGCCAGGAAGGGACAAAGCAAACGACCTAACCAATGACCCACAAAACCAACACACCAAGGAAGCCACCAACACACGAAGCAAACAACAACGCGTCCGACAAGCCACCCGAAGGCTCAAACATGGCGAGACAGTCCGGCGAGACATGCCAAACACCTCGCATACAAAAGCAGAGAGTCGCTATTGCAAAATTGTGTTCAAACTTGACCCCATTTAAGGTCACCGACCAATCTGAAAAACACAACCTTTTGTTGCTTTTCGTGTTAAGTGATGTTCTTCCTTTTGTCATCGCGCGTCTTTGCTAGTCTTTAGTATCATAACGAGGCTCAAGAAAACAAACAGAGGTTGCCAGCTTTGCAAACAGGAACTGCAAATATGAATGCACAAAATGCTGAAAATGCAGGTGTCCTTTTGTTACCTTTTATTGGTTAAAACAAATACGAAAAAGGACACCTCGAAGACAAGTAAGAACATACTAAGAACACAAAAACCTGAAGCTGGACCTAGCCTCTTGCATCGACTCAAATAGAGAGCAACTAGTACGCGGCATCAACCTGTGAACGAAGAGAACTAGTTAAGCAGCGGTGGAAGGCCTCAAACCTGGTGACAATGTAATAGTCAATAGACATTACTGTAGATCAAAAGCCGGCAAACATTGTTATGCAAGTTCCGTCTGAAAAAATGATACAAGCAAGTGCTGCTTGAGCAAAAGAAAAGCTCGTAGAGTCCTCAAGACTCACCTTGTCAGATTTCACCCTTTAAGACAATATATAATCTCCCTTCTCAAAAAAGACTTTCCCATGTCGTCCTGCTTTCCTCTAATCAGACCTTTTTTTCATGAATGGCTCCCTTGCAGATCTGACTCACCAACTGTCAGACATTCAGCCAATTTCTATCCAACAACTACCCGGAATTCATAAATATAACTATGTACCGTATATATATATATATGTATATGTGACTATATACATACATGTGCATTATATATACACACCATTTTTCTGATTGACCCTCTCTTCCGCTTCCTTTTTCATTCTGCCAACTCATCATTCCTCTTGCTTCCCTTCCGTTGGTTCATCCTACATCCCTGTCCTTTCCTTTCCTTTTGCTTGCATCTTTCCTCCCATCTCCTTTTTCTGTTGCCTTTTCACTGCCGCAAAATCATTCTTTCCAAAAAAATCCACCAACAACCCAAATACCTTACGATACAGTAGGGCTGTCTTTGTTTTCAATGCACCATGAATTCCTCCAACAAACGTGCAAAATAGATCGTCGGAGCAGTTTGAGATCTTCTTCACGCTTCCATTCTTTGGACGGGTGGTGAGTTCGATATTGTTGTTTGAAGGTTTTGCTTGCATGTTGTTCAGCTTGGTGTGTTGAGGTTCTTTGGTTTTCATACAGGGTGGTTTTTGTCTTAGGTGTAAGGTTTGGCATCATTCAGGTTTATGCATACTACCCATGACTTGTGACTTCATTTGTTTGGGTTGCTTTTTGTCGACACATTTATGTCGTGTATGAATAAGGCTTGGCTTGGTTTGGTTTGGCTTAGGCACGCACGCACACAAACACATATAAAGAAATATAACATACACACACAAGAAAAACACACAAACAAGTCGATCTTCAGACCAAGATTCAGGTGCACAGGTTTGTCTCAGATTGCTAGAACAAACTTCATCCTCAAGTGCAAGAGTCGCCTTTCGCTCAAATAAACAATACACCGACTTTTGGCGGCAGCACTTGGCCCTATGTACACTCTTGAATGCCGATCATTCGCTCACTTGGCTTACTTTGTGCCACTTGGCTTGAGATTGAGAAGTTCCTTGAACCTCGCGCACGGAAGACGTCATGCTGAGACCAATGCAAGCCCATTGACTTAACCATGAGAGCGACAAACCGATGCATTCCAAATTCCAAGAGTCGAGCACAAAACAAATGTTCGACAATCTGCCTCTTCAGTTGATTCTCTCAAATCTCTCCTTTCGTATCACATGTTTTGTTCCTAGCTGACTCCATGCCTGCACTCGACTCTTCGGTCACTATCCTTATCTTCTTTAGACTCTGTGTTCATTCCCTCCTTGGTAACAACTCACACCTTGGAAAATGATCTCCACAACAACAAGTCTTCAGCGAAGACTTTGAACCAAATATAAAGACACATGCTTTGACCATTTTAAACCACATTGCCAAAACACAAAGCTTGGCAACATTGCGCCGGATGAAACGGCAAACCAAAATTTGGCCAGCGCACTTGGGTGGTGCCTTGGACGCCGCATATTGCCAGCCTTCAATTCTGCCAAGTTCAGCAGGCGCTGGCATTGGCAGCGTTCTGACTGTTTGTATTGGTCCACTGGCGGCTGTTATATAATTGAAAGTTGGCTCTTCTTGGGAACAAAACAATCTTGACTTGGGATGGCAAGTCCCGCGCCATTTTTTGGAAACAAACACCAAAAGCGCTGCAACTTCATGCCAAAGAATGAGAATCAAAAGATCAACAAAACGCGCCAATAATTTGTGCTTTAACTTTGCATGTGCTTCTTCGCGTCAATGCTGAACATTGAGCAAAGCTGGTCTTGTCGTATGTGGAACATGTTGCATTCTGAACCTCGGATTAATTCTACCTCATGGGTCACACGCCTCCACTCCACTCCTCAAGGACACCTCAAATTGGCACAAAATTGTCCAACTAAGCATGGCTTGGCTGAGCACCACACCAACTTGGGCGTTGAGCGTTCAGGGCAGTGGTGGAAGCACCAATCGATAGCACCTCCAACCTGGACCTGTCACAGCATGTCACAGCACAACAACCCAACATGATTTGAAGAAATCTTGGTCTATGTTGAGTTGGCCCTAGTTTGCAAGGCTCGGTCTGACATCACGGTGTCCACCCACCACCCATCCTTGAAGGTGTTGTCCAAGCACTCGTGTTGCCAGCTGTACGGGCCCTGTGCTTTTGTTTTTGGGCTTTTGAAAGCAGCTTAGCCAGCACAACATTGAGAGTCGGCAAAAATTGACAGCACTGGGGTGGATATGTTGCCTGTGAATCTCTGCCAACGTCTGGTAGCAATCTTTGAGAAAGGACATTGTCTTTTCCTTAGCCATCCGAAAGACTGCATCGGCAACCAGTGGACGGCGCCCAATGGCTCACTTTAGGAACACTTCATTAACCTAATCCTTAATAAGTTTGGCAATGATGGTTTATGTTTTGTAAAGGTAGACATCCCATGCTGGCTGGACACGCGGGTCGAAGCAGTTTCGCAGCTGAAATGAGAATTCACAAACGTAGGCTGGCGCCGCTGCCATGCTGATCGCCAAGCTGGCCGTGATATGCTGTTGCTGCTGCTGCCGCTGCTGCTTGATCCCTGCTATCTGGAGCCTATGCTGGTATAAGTGGGTTCTAGATTCTTTAGCTGGCTGCAAAAGCAACATCTAGAGTCCACTTCCTGGCTGGAAGATAGATTTTGTAGCTGGCAGCAACCAAGCATAGATGATAGCTACTTCTGGACATTTCTCAGACCTAGCTGCTAGTGGCTGCGTGAAGGTAGACTTAAGGGGCAAACTGCAAGTAGGGTGTGAAAACGTGTGAGTCTTGTCGAAAGGCGGTGAGGGCACCATCACGCGCAAATGTCTCAGGTATCCTAAACATGCGAACTAAACTACTTCCAGTTGAAGGCAACAAAAACAATCTTGTCTGCCTTATTCTCTTCGATGGCACGACACCGTTGGGCATTGCATAGGCAGTCATAAACAAGAGCTTGTTGTTGATGGACGGACTACTTTCAAAATACAAAAACCTGCTAACAAGTATCGGAGATCAAACCTTCAAAAGGAAACATATCAAACGCGTCTCAACAGTTTACTGATGGGCTCAGGACACGAGTTCCATTCTTCACTGCGGATTAACCTAGCTTCTTGGCTGCCCCATTGACACTGACGTCCAATGCTAAGTCCTCGTGCTGTTGAGGGAACAGGCGAACAACAGTGAATGGGATCAGCAACTTTGTTGGAAGGTTGTTCGTCATAGAACTTCACAAACAAAACACAGTCCTGGTCCATAATTCCAATCCAGGACCTTGAGGGAAACTTCAGAGAGTGGCCCTGATATAGTGAAATCCACTCCTGACTCTCCAACCAATTCAGCCTTTCCATGCTGTGAACACAAACGGATTTAAGTCTCAAGTAACATCCGGAACATATTTTGCACTGTGCCTTGTTTGTTGCATTCCACAAGCACTGGGCCTCACAATTGCCAAGCCACCCATAATCTCCCAAGAATTTGCAAGGTCCGTTGGCCTGAGTTTCACATCCTGCCCTTGGTTCACGCTCCCTTTTTTGACATTTATCCGCCGACCCCGCTGTAGCAAGGGGGAGCGCGCCAGGGATTACGGGTAGCTGTTTGGGGGCTTGGGGGTAGCTAAGTTTGAAGAATGGAGGTGTGGCGGCACCAGGTGTTCGGGGCCAGGAGGTGCGAGAAACATGGAAGAAAACTTTTTTTTTCTAGGGATTCAGAGGCAGCGTTTGCAAGAAATGAAAGAAAAGCTTTTTTTTGAAGGGATTCAGAGGGAGCGTTTGGCAGCGAAAGTGCAACCGGGGGAGGCTCGTTTTGGACCAGAATTAGATGGGGAAAAGCTCGTTTTGGACCAGAATTAGATGGGGAAAAGCTGTGGCGGCACCAGGTGTTCGGGGCCAGGATTCAGAGGCAGCGTTTGCAAGAAATGAAAGAAAAGCTTTTCTTTTGCTAGGGATTCAGAGGGAGCGTTTGGCAGCGAAAGTGCAACCAGGGGAGGCTCGTTTTGGATCAGAATTAGATGGGGAAAAGCTGTGGCGGCACCAGGTGTTCGGGGCCAGGA